AGGCCATGTTTTCAACCCTCCATTTTCATGAACCCATCATTCATAATGTAAAAAATTTAACTTGAGTTGCATTTTTTAGTTTGTGGTTGCTTTTTTCAGTGTCTACCCATTTCAAAAATTATTTGATAATCTAAATTTACACCGAGTTTATGTTTTATAGATATTGAGCTGCTTACGTCTTATAAAAATTGAATTGCTCTATATTTATAATATATAAACAGTTCAATTTTTATAAAATGTAAATTTGATGTGAATTTGAAATTAATCACAGATTAATAGTTTAATTTGATGGCGTAAAAACGTAAAATGTTAGATGGGCCTACATTATAGAATACTTATTTTTTTCGGATTTAAAGAAGAATTTAATTCTTCATTAAAAAAGAAAAAAGAGATTCCCATCTAATGGATTTGAGAAAGTTGGATGTCATATTCCAGATAGCCTATATGGAGAAGGTTTCAATACATGAAATTGGACTTAGATGATCATCGAAACCAAACTTTAATTGACCCAACGCTTTTTAAGTGATAAGTCCTATATGTGTTATACTTAGTAGTAGCAGAGTCTATTCCAACTCACAATCAAGTCCACCACATGTCACATTAAGTCAAAATTTTATATGCCAATCCGCGTGTAAATTATGTAATTAATTCATAATCTTTTTTTTTATAATTTTAGAAAACTCGATTTCTTACTCTATAAAATTTTGAAATATGGCATGTGATGTTTAAGTAGATATAAATATTACAAATTGCATCTGTATTTTTCAACGAGTTAATTAATAGATTTGAAATTGATTCAAGAAGTTTTAGCTGAAAAAATCGAGCTTTTTGGATTGTGAATGAGGATGAAACATATCACGGGAACATCATAAACTAATAATACAATTTACTCACCAATTCATAAAATCTTTGACTTGCTACCCAATGAAAAATATATACTCACTGTAATTTTCAAAGGGAAGATATGGTTAGTTCACCTGTTGGAATAAGAAAAAGAGAAGCTATAGCATTATGCTATTGATTACCAAAGAAATTAAAAAGAAAAAGTGTGTACACAATGGTAAAAATTGAAAGCCTATAACATTTCATTGGTAGAATGGGCATTCTGCAGTTGAATATATTGTTGACAAACTTATTTATGAAGTGATGCAAATCCACCTCATCAACTATAAGTAAGGTGGCCCCCAATTTTGTTGTATCATTAGTTGTAGCTAATTAATTAATTAAGTGCATGTTGACCTTGTATGTCTTCAATTTAATCATTGTAAAACACCACTTTTTTTTTTTACCATAAATCAGGTAAAATTTTTTTATGAGGTTATAAAGTAAAATTTTCAATTATAAATAATAATTTTTAATTAAATCAACATAAAGTTGAATTAAATTCATATATGATGAGATTTTAGTAATTTTTTTTAATTTTTATTAAACTAAATAAGAAAAAGGGGGAGGCTGCAAAATTGAACTAGAAAAGAGGCTGCAAGCAGGCAACAGGTAGGACAGGCACCAAGAACAATCAACGAAATACCCCACTTAAAGAAAAAAGATGCCTTTTCCTGTTTAAGATAACCTCTACCTGATCTTAAGTCAGTATTTTAAAGGCCAATCAGAATTCCTTACATACATATAAATTATTATTGTTTCTTTCCTACTTAGCTTTCACTTAGAACACTTATTTCATTTTATTTAGTTTTCATTTAGGGTTTTTTTTTCAAAGGATGTCAACTAATTTTAACAACTTGGGGAACCAAATCCTTTACAATTATATTAGTGATGGATTCAATATTTTATACAAAAGGTCACCATCAATTTTAGTTCACATTTAATTGTACATAAATTAACAATAAAAAATAAGAAATTAAAGTTACCAACTCTACTTAATCACTTTCTATACAAATCAAACAGAACTAATTAAATTGACATTTCACCTAAGGAAATGCTATTAATTATTTATATCCTTTTAACTATTCATTCTTCTAATATACTAATGAAACTTTCCGTACAGATCTTAAATTGTATTTTGTGTAATAACTTTGAGTCTTTTAATTAATTGATGTAGGAATTAATATTTCAATCATATAACAAGTTATGCAATCGTACATACAAGCAAATTAATTACTTACTATATTCTAATGCAACAGATTGCATGCATATGACCATATATGGTTGTCTCCCTCTACAAATAGGGGATCATCCTAAGAGCTACAGCAATTTTGGGTCTTGAAACCCCAGCTTAAGGAGATGCTTTTCCCCCCAAAAATTGTATTCAACAAAAAATGAAATTATTTTTTGTGTACATGGACGAGTATGTGTGTGTGTGTATATATATATATATATATATATATATGTATTGATAAATATAAAAACAAAGGCATTGAAAGTGAATTTGGGTAGCACTTATATCTGATGGAAAAGCTTTTGCATGATATGCAGAGAAAGAAATAATAATTGTGGTTGTAGGAGTGTCAAAATGGTTCAATCGAAGAGTAGGGACAAGATTTGCATACACATGCTTTTCTAGGGATTTAAGAGCCTGAAAAGCAGGTTGAGGAGTAATTGTTGTTAAATTAGTATGAAAACTTTGGTGAAAGTGGTTAGTTGACCTATTTTTCCAGCTAAGCAAGCTTTTGCATATACATATATGAAGGGACACTGTTTCTATAAAGTAGTTGGATTTTTTTTTTTGGCTTTTAATTTGAGTGAGTAGTTGGTATGTTTAAAGCCTTATAATTAATTTATCCATATATTTGTCGCTTTTAGTACATTTCATTTTACGTCTAATAATCTTTATTAAAATTATATATTTTGATGTTCCATTTCAAGCATTAATGTAAGCACGTTATCTTCAGATTTTTCTTCAATAATAGAGCTATCAATTTTTATATTTTTTAAGCACATTTCATTTTAGTGGTCCAAATACCCTTTTTTTTTTAATCCGATTTCGCTTTATGCTATATTGGAAAATAGAAGATCTATCAAAAGCAATTTTAATTAATCAACGCTTTTGAGTGACAAGTCTTTGATGCTATCTTTGAATCTTTTTGTTGATGAAAGAATAGATAAATCGTATTCATGTGTTATTCTTTTTGATAGACATTTGATTTTGAAAAGGTTGATGTTATGGTTTATTGATGATGTATAAAATATAAATTCTGGATTGTTTTTTATAAAAAAATAAAAAATATAGGAAAATTTTATTAGATTGAATATAATATTTTATTTTCAATGAATATGATTATTGTATGTCACAAGTAACAACCTAACATTAATGATAATTAAATTTTTTAAAAAATTAAAAAGCCTGGTCTTTTTCTAGACATTCTTTGTATCATAATTTGTTTGATTAAGACAACTGATCCCGATTCCATATTTTTAATAATTTTCTCCCAAAATATTTTATTAATTTTTTATTTTCAATTTAGAAATAATAATTGAAACTTGTTGTAATTAACCCACAAATTATTTGAATTTCCAGTGTGTTTCAAATTATATCGCTCACATGAATAAACTTTAAATCAAAGAAGAGCTTAAAGAAAAATATTGAGAAAATGGTCAAATATCTCATTCTTCTAAATTGGGAATTTCATATTTACCATTTTACTTTTTTTTTGGTGCAATTTCAGCACTTTACAATATTTTTTTTTACAATTCTAGTCAGCTATGGATAGAAATAAAATATTTCTTTCAATTTTTTAAAAACAAAATTTATAAGTTTAAACAATTTTTTTAAAAAAAAAATTTATAAGTTCAAAAATCAGTTTATCCTATTTATTGTTTTTCCATATTTATATTATCTCAGGTGGCATTTTTTATAAATAAAAAATACAAATATTTTCCATGTTAGAATGAAATTGCACCAAAATAAATTTAGTAGAGTAATAAAATTGCACACAAAAAGAGAAGTAAGCTCCCAATGTAATACAATGTTAAATTTGACCCTTTATACAAAAATAATCTCCTTGGCCCTCTTTGACTACCAAATGAAACAAAAGTTGAATTAAATCTTGGTAGATACAAGCCAAAAATGGTCATGTATTGTATTATATTTGTTAGAGGAGTTTTACCATTGTAAAGGCAGCAACAAAGGAAAAAAGAGGTCCACTACAATAAAAACCGACAATGGCAGTCCCGTTTTGATTTTTTAGTTTGATGTACTTTGGTGGGTGAATATCGATGAAGATCTATCCCTCAAAGAATTTCTCTAGTCTTCGTCAAAATGTCTTAGTCACTATGAACTTAGCTCATCCAGGTAGGGACCCAGAGTTTGGATAAAAAAAATTCCTACAAATTCAGCCCTGTTCCTCTTCTTTTAATCTCATTTTAGATGGAAACTTGTTTATTACTTGGTGAAACCTGTAAAGAAATAACCAGAAAAGAAAATGGCTGCAGGTGAAAGTTTCAAGTGGCGGTTTGTTTGAATACACTTTTAACTCTCTCAAGCGTGCTAAGAGAAGGGAACATGAACCAGTAGGGAATTGTTCAGCTGGTGCCATTGCAGCAGCTAGTGAATGACTGCCTCATTAAAGACCATTTCGATTATTCCATGTAAATAGATGAACAAATATGAGGCAGTTGAAAGTGACGGATCAATTTATTTGGGAAAGCAAAGTTTCAGGGATTGTAAAAGTTAAGCACATGAAACCCAAATACAAAAAAAAAAAAACCTACTGCGTTTACCATTCTGTAATCTTGTACAGCATTTTCATGTGTATCAGCTATTGTGAATGGTAGAGATTTCAGCAGAAAAAGATACCTCATTGAAAAATTTATGGCAAAGCTAACCGAAGAGCATTTGCGAGGCTTGAGACATTGAATTATATATATAAATTCATTAATTTCAGAGCATGAAAAGTAGATGATTCAATTGGAAATGCGGATCGGGGAGACGTGGTCTGGGATGACCTCATTACATTGCCAGACACAACTACCTGTATTTGCTTGTGTAGGCCATGTTTTTCCTCCTTTGACAAGAACCCCTACCTATATATAATCGGTGCCTATTCTTTGATTCAGCATGCAAAGACATAGTCTTCTCTTCTTTTTAGTGTATGCTCCTCCTGCTTCCAATGGCAAGCTCAGTGGTTGTTGCTTCATGGATTGTTTTAGGTCTTGTCATGGCAACTTCAACTACTAAAGTTGAGGCCGCCAGGGCATTTTTTGTATTTGGTGATTCCCTGGTTGACAATGGCAACAACAATTACCTAGCAACCACTGCTCGAGCAGATTCACCTCCTTATGGGATTGACACTCCTAGTCGTCGCGCCACAGGCCGCTTCTCAAATGGCAAAAACATTCCTGATTTTATCAGTTGGGATTTCTCTGCTATTTTTCCTCCTTGTTTTTTCAAATTTTGTCGTGTCATGTTAATTGAATTGACTTAATGTGTTCATATTTTTCAGGTGATGCACTTGGCTCAGAGCCAGTATTGCCATACTTGAGTCCAGAACTCAGGGGAAACAAGCTACTTGTTGGCGCCAACTTTGCTTCTGCTGGTATTGGAATCCTCAATGACACCGGCATCCAATTTGTAAGTCCAGAAACTTCCTTCTCAATCTTCTGCTTGAGATGGAGAGAAGAAGGAAGAAAATTCAGTCCCTTTCTTTTCTTTATCAGTTATAGTGTTTAACATGGCAATGTGACAGTGTTCTTTTCTCACATGATACATTGACAGATAAACATCATAAGAATGTTCAGGCAATTACAATACTTTGCAGAGTACCAGGGCCGGTTGGCTGACCTGGTCGGAAATGATGAAGCACAGAGGATTGTAAGCGATTCTCTAGTCCTCATTACGGTCGGTGGCAACGATTTTGTGAACAACTACTACTTGGTGCCCTTCTCTGCAAGATCTCGCCAATTCAGTCTTCCAGACTATGTTAGATATCTCATCTCAGAGTACAGAAAACTTTTAATGGTAAATTTTCTTCCCCTGGGTAACATAAAAAGCATGTTCTTCAAAACTGTCACTTGTTACACTTGTAGCTAACATTGTCTTCATTTGACTGACATATCATATTGCAGAAACTATATGATCTTGGAGCTCGTAGGGTTCTGGTGACCGGGACGGGACCTTTGGGCTGTGTTCCGGCGGAATTGGCCATGAGGAGCCCAAGTGGGCAGTGTGCCCCTGATCTGCAACGAGCTGCTTCCTTGTACAATCCACAACTAGTTCAAATGATCAATGGACTCAACAGCGAGATCGGTGCAACTATTTTCATTGCTTCTAATACACAGCAACAAACCAATGATTTCATTAGTAACCCTGGAGCCTACGGTAAGTATCTCCATAATTCAGTATTTGACCACTTTTCTTATTTGAAAATATTTTGTCACATCAAAAAGAACACCAACATTAAGAGTAATGAAAGGGGCATTGATTAGCCAAGATTGGAGACAATTGATAGAAGGCAGAGAGAGAGAAACGCTGCAAAATGGGGGCGAAGAGGAACAACAAAAGGCGTGACATTTTGTTGACCTATTAAAAAAAGTACCCAAATTTTATTTATGAGAGCAACCTACCCCCCACGTACAGTCTCCTCAGATATTATGGTGAAAGCAACCACAGATTTTGGATTTTGCACCCCCAAAATTTTGCCCTCGAAAAGGGCAACTGGCAGAAGAAAAATTTCATCTCAATAGCAAATTCATTGTACCCATCACTGCCCTTCTCTTTTAATGCCATCAATGAGGTTGCAGCAGGCCATGACTTGACACCTATTTTTCTTTACACAGACCCTTTCTGAATCCTTTTTATCTTTGATACGCATCTTAGGTCAGAATTTAACTCTCAACAAATATTCATGAAGACTATACTTTGTTTGCAGGATTTATTACATCAAAGATAGCATGCTGTGGCCAAGGACCATTCAATGGTCTGGGACTATGCACTGTGTTATCAAACTTGTGCCCCAACAGGGCCCAGTATGTTTTCTGGGATCCTTTCCATCCATCAGAAAGGGCTAATGGGATCATCGTTGACACGATCTTGAGTGGTTCTACAGATTACATAAGCCCCATGAATCTCAGCACCCTCTTGGCTTTAGACTACCAGACCAGGACTTAGCTAGTTGCATTTTAATAAGGATAAAAACAACCTTGTGTTATACCATTGTTGTTTGCTTGGCATGCATGCATTTGATTATGTACGTTGTTCCCTATGGGTGGAATTAATTTCTTGATGAACTGTAATGTAATGTTTCAAAACTATTTTATGAGTAAATAAATAGTTGCCGATTTATTTTCCATCATATTCCTCTCTTCTCTGAGCAATGTTAACCCTCATTTTGTTTATTTACTGCTGTTATTTCTATCCAACACCAATCTCTTATTTATGATTTTCGTTCGAAATAATAATTAATATTTAAAAAAAATTTCTGCCTTAAAATAATTTAACAAAGAATATTTATATAAATGATTTTTTTTTAACAATTTGAATGTCACTCACATGCAACAACCTCACTGGGAATAAGATAGGATAAGATAGGATATATATAAATAAATATATATATATATATATATATATGCCCCAATTATAATAACTTGCTATTTAGCATTTATTACACCAAAAAATGGTCGTAAATGACTTGTCAATTGGCTCAACAATTATAAGCTAAGCTTAAGGAGGCAATATCCAAATTATTTTAGGTACCAATCTAGCTTATCATTTTCAAGCTTTATTGGATTTAATTTTTAGATTTTCCCAAGTCTAGATTTGCTTTGAAAACTTTGTTTCATGATTTGGATATATAGAAGGAGAAATATATATATATATATATACACACACACACACCTATCAACATTAATTAATATAGATATTACATGTGGTACTATGGTATTTATGTCCTTATCATCACAATCTTAATTTCAAACTAAGCACGTTCTATTGAATGGACTAGGCATTAATAATTTGTATGGTCTGTTTGGTTTAATGAGTTGAGGAAAGTGGATGAAGGAGAACATTTCCATTACTTCGTTTATTGATTTTATTGATATTTTATATAATTTTAATTTTAAAAATTTTTTAATAATACAATTTAATTTAATTAGCCGAATTTGAATCTAAAGATGTTAATCCCGTTCATCTCATCTCAGCTCATAAACTTGTATATGGGATAAGCACATTGAGATATAATAAAACACAAATCTCTTACCATAATTGTTTTAAGTTACCTCCAATGACATAATTGTAAGTAAAACTTTTACACATTTTATAATTATTCTAAATTTATAATTATGGACTTATGGTAATACATATTAATATTGTATGTAAGATATTAAATTTTATATGTTATTTACAAATTTCTGTATACGAAGTGTTGTGGACGTAAAAGATCACATGGATTCTAACTAGGCACACTACATGAGTAGATAAATGTTGTCAAGAATGAATGAATCAAAACTTATATGGCCCTTTATGTTCATCCACCAATCATTAATGCAAGCTGGAAAACAAACTTAAGATTGATGAATGGAACAAAAAGAGGAGATGGATTGATCATGGAACTGCATTTCAAATGGTAGGTAGAGCAGTTTGCTTGGTAGGGATGGGCATTAAGAAGAGGGTAGCCTAGCTGGAGAAAGATAGCATAGTATTAAATGTCATGGAAACATCAAAAAGTGCTCTTCCTGTAGCCAGAAAGGCAACGAGGAACACAATGGTAAAATCCATGAGAGAGAGTTAGACGAAGTTAACAAAACAATCAATATTAATTCAACAACTTCAACTTATTACAAGGAAAAACAAAACAAAAACAACCTTATCGACCAATGCGGCGCCACATTACTTTGGTTACCACATCAAAATTTCATGTGCTTTATTATATATAAAATGATAAAGGGTTCATCAAAATTTGCATAACCCTCTATAAGACTAATGGATGAGTAATCTGTCATTCAAATGGATGATTTTTTAGACCTAAATATTAACAAATGTAAAATTTGGATTCTCACAATTGGAAAAACTATTAAAATTACTTGCCATCTTCTTTGTTATGTAACATAAAATTCAAGTATGTGGTATGTGTTCATATCAAGTTGAGTTTTTGTTCCCTTCCATTGAACTCTCTTTATACTTTCTATATACAACAAAAAGGAAGAAAAGAATCCATGTACAATTTAGAAAAAGAAAAGTAAAAAATGCAAAAGAATATGATATCTAGGATGCTTATATATATGCATGCATGAAATGTTTTCCTCATATATCAAGACCGTCCATCCAATGGAACTTATCTATCTAGAGGGGCATTAAATGATCCGAGAAAAGCTGTAGGTTTACACTGCAGACTTGGATGATTTGATTGATACTACTGAAGCAGGGAAAAGAAATTCAAAGGCTAGTGAGGTTGTTTGTTGGTTTTTTACTTATTTCTGGTAAGGACTTTGGTGGTTGGTAGATATAAGATACCAAGTGAAATGAAAGAGTGATGTTGTCATTGCATCAAAGTTTTGCTTTCAATTTGGAATTTGAAGGTACCATTTGTTTCGTGCAAGTATCTTGTGAGAATTTACTAGCTCACCAGAAAGGCAAAAACCGCGAAAATCAGAGTATTATGTTTTTGGGTTTGTGTGTGTGAAACGGATGTAAGGGGATAACTCCCCCAGGGAGGATGGCATGATGGTAGGAACCCCTTGCACCCTTAAGTTTAACCCTGGGGGTTTGAAATTGAGGGTCCCAGTCATGGCAAGCACCATTGATGCTTTGGCTGTAGGACCAGCAGACTGAAAACTTCAGGGAATTAATGATTCCCACAAGAAGACCCTTTTTCATTTATTAGCAAAGAAAAGAAAAAAAAAAAAAAAGAGAGGGGGAGACCCCCCATTTTAACTCACCCAAATCTAGCTCATGACTTAGGGCTAGACCTTAGAGTCCAATCCTTCTGCAGAAAATATGAAAAGTAAACGTTGACACTAAATGAATGCGTCTTAAATCACCACTTCACTTATATTCTTAAATCCTTATTGAAGAGCCACTTCAATTATTATTTTAGGTGAAGGCTCAAGAATGAGTTCTTAATCTCTAACACTAAATGAACCTTAATTTACTTAGCATATAGTAGGAAGTACTTCCCACCTCATCCTTCGGTGATTAGGCTTGGAAATACCATTAGATGTCCACAGAAGATAATGCCACAGGTTGAGGTTTAACATGCAATTTTATTAACTGGATTTGTCAATGATTTAAGAACATCAGCTATCACGTGCTTTTAGTTCTAAACATGTGCAATTAGTTAATTGTCTGGTAAAATACAGGATGATTACTGAATATTGATTGCTTGGATGTAATTTACTGCATTATGAAACTTTGCACTGACTCTGGGCGGTGCATGGAAGTAATTCTTTTGGGGGTTTGGGGTCTTATGTTCAATGTCAACCGCAAAGTTGTTTGCACTGATCACATGGAAGCTAGCTAAAAAGCGGCTTACCTTTTCCTTGCGTATTGAATGAGGATTATCCATATGAAGAAGCTAAATTAATGGAACCAAATGAAGATTCATTTCCTTTTGTCATGATCGTAACTATAAAAGTGATGATGGAATATTTTGAACAACCAAAAGATGTCATGAAATGTGTTTATTGGTCTACTTTCCATTTCAAGCAGGAGAAAGACTTCCTAAATATGCACCAGGACAACATTGTTTGACTAAAAGTATCAGAAGCAAAAACAGAGCAGAGACTTTTTAAGTAATTAGGTGCTGGAATTTCATTGTGAGGCAGAGACTTTACACTTACTAGGAGAATCAGTGGTGGCTATTAACAAACACTCTCAACGCTCTCCTTTTCTAGATAAACATGTGTGAGCTCTGATATAAACAAGTTGATGCATTTGAAGCAATCTTCAAGCAGAAGATGTAATTTATGTATTAGAACAGTATGATTTGTTTCTTATGACAAGGAATCTCTAAACTTTAATGCATACGCCTTGGTTACCTACTCCAATGTATTGGTTAACTTACATCTCAAAGCAACCTCTTTCGCTAGGCTAAACCGGTTTAAACAGAACCATTTGATTCTTCAAAGCAAAGCTTGAAAACAAAAGTTTTCTGGTTTTGATGATTGCATGATGTCAACAGACAGAAATGTATTCTTCAGTTCTTTGATGTTCTGCTATATTATTTGGATTTACAGGGGTAATTTAGTGTCACCAGAATGCTTGATGGTGGAACAGGCAATTTCCACGTGCAAAAGCAATCACAAAGAGGTGATAGAAAAGAAAAGAAAAGAAAAAAAATTTCTATCAGCTGTAAGATAACTTTCTTAATATGATAATACACATACTGATCTCGTCACTTGCAGAAGGTTTTCTTTGCTATTCAATAACATTAATATTGAATTGCAAATCCCAGATTGATCTAGGATGGTGGCAAGTTTTGATCACCATGTTTTAGTATGGTTGCAAGATATGAATGTCTCTTCTAGGAACAATCTTACCACACAATAATCTGTCATGAAAATTTGAACTTTTCGATGGTATTTCATCATTGCTTAAAGAAGTAGAAATTTTCTTGCCTTTGTTTTTGCGTTCCTTTTCATGGTGATTGCAGAAGCCTCAAAGCTATTTTAGAGCTTCCATCTATTCCAGTCTGCATCCAAGAAAATCTCTTCCAATCGAAGCTAATAATTTAACAGCCTGTCAGAGGGTTAGGCAGAATCCTTTTAATGTTTATTTCGTTTGTAGTCAGTTCTTGGATAGTTTTAGGCCTTCTATTGGCACTAGAAGCTGTTTTTATCCATGCAGAAGCTCGAGCATTCTTTGTATTTGGTTATTCACTTGTTTATAGTGGAAACAACAACTACCTTGAGACAACTGCTCGTGCAGATTCTTCCCCCTTATGGAGTTGATTACCCAACTGGCAGACGAACAGGCCGTTTCTCCAATTGCCTTATCATCCCAGACCTCATCAGTTAGGTTCCACCTTGAGTTTTTACCTTTCTAATGGTGTTTGGTTGTTTCTCAACGTGTAGACACATTTAAGTCATTTCTGTGCTTGTCAGCTCAGCAAATTGGTTTATCAGAACACCCATTGCCATCCTTGAGTCCAGAGCTCAGAGGACAGAAGCTGTTTAATGGTGCCAACTTTGCTTCAGCAGGGGTTGCAATTCTCAATGACACTGGAAATCAATTTTTAAGTTTGCCACCCTTGTTACTGAATTCTCTATTGGCTACAGCCTATATATAGGAGGAATCTTTGGTACTTTTTCTCCAACCTTTGCATGCATATTCCTATTAAGAAGCAATAAGATTCATCAG